TTCAACTATATTTTTTATACTTCATCCGGAAGTTTTTTCCAACTTATCCAGAAAGTTTTTTTTTCTCTATATTCTGCTGAAAGTGCAATAAAGCCAGTTCCAAAATTTTGTCTAAGGTTTCTTGGAATATTTCTCTTTACTTTCTTCCATCTTTCCCCGCAAGCATGTTTCAGTTTTATGACTTGCACTTGAAGGTTCTTCTGACTTGCACCGGAAGATTCCTGCAACTTTTCCTGAAAGTTTATTCTGATTTTTCCAGACTTGTTCCGAATCTTTTTTTTCTGACTGACAATTCTTACGATTTCCCCTGAAAGCTTCTTCCGAGCTCCCGAAGACCTGTTGACTTGCCCGGACGTGTCTGCCGAGTTCTTCTGGAAGTTTCACTAAAATTGCTCCGAAATGTCTTGGATGTTAATCTCCCGACAGAGTCAGTTAACTTCCTCTGAAAGTTTCTTCCAACTTTATCAAGTTTCTTCAAACTTCTCTGGAAGTTCCTTTCAACCTCTCCAAAATGTTTGCATAAGTATACACTGGATTTTTTTCATTGATTTGAGAGTTCTTCACAGAGTAAATTTTTCATAAATAGCATATCATCATTTCAAGTCTCAATAATTTTCATGTCACAGAAGATGGAATTTGATTGATAATTAAATCTTGAATTTTTTAAGTCTCAAAAAGGTTCAAAATGTACAAATCATGAAACTATTTCGTAGAGTGAGCTTTAAAAAGAAGTACTAGAATCCAGAAAACATTCATATTCCCAGATGGGTGGACCCAATCTTTAGATCCACGGCCAACATGCCACTGTCTGGGCGGTCGCTTAGAATCGGTGCTCACGTGCGTGGGTCCCTGTCGGCACCCCACCGCCAGTGGTACCTACACAGTTCGAAAAAATAGCGTTTATTTCTGTTCAAACGATGCACATTAATGGAGCGTCACATATTATATAAGTTTACATTATAATGCCTTGTTCAAACTACAGAGTTATAACATGTTATAGTGCTATCTTGATGGTGGTTTCTGTGTTGCAATTAGTTGACAACCGTTATAACATAGCACTGTCAGCTCCTTCAATCGTATTTTGCATAATTGCATCATTCAAACTGTACCGCTAAAAAGGCCCCCAAGGAATCCTGCTTGGTCCAATGCGCATCTTCGCACCCTGCGTCGACGGCACGTCAAGTTACTGCAGCGATATTGTCGTCAACGATGTTTGTATCTAAAGCACCAGTTTGACGAAGCTAGTCGAGTCTATCGTGGATACAATCGTTTTTTGTACAAAATGTACGTTAGACGGAGACAAGATGATCTTCGGCAAAACCCGAAACGGTTTTGGAGCTTTGTAAATTCAAAATGTAAGTAGAGCGGATTGCCGACTACGATGCACTTAGGAGATGTTCATGCTTTTTCTGCAGAAGCAAAGTGCGAGCTTTTCTCTCAAAAATTTGCTAGCGTGTTTGAGAATCGTATGCCAACGGTGGAGGAGATAGTTGTAGCTGTTGAGCTGGTACCAAGAGACGCGGTAGATCTTGATGTATTCAACATCAACACAGCGACGGTTGAATCAGCTCTACAGAAACTCAAGCAGTCTTATCAACCTGTCCCGGATGGCATTCCTTCGTGTGTATTCAAAAAGTGTAGTGCACTTTTGGTTGCTCCAGGTTGCCCAGGTTTCCTTCTGCTTGGAAGACCTCCCATATGCTTCCAGTGCACAAGAAAGGTGATAAGTCAGATATTTCTAACTACCGTGGGATAACTTCGTTGTCCGCTGGATCTTAGTGCCTCGAAATCATCGTCCATGATTACTGTTCAGCTCTTGCAGGAACTACATCAGTGCCTCTCAACACGGATTCTACCCCAAACGATCAGTGGACAGCAATCTGTGTGAATTTACCTCTTTTTACATCGGCACAATGGACGATGGAGCTCAGGTTGATGCTGTATACACCGACATAAAGGCTGCTTTTGACACGGTGAACCACGATATTCTTCTTGCCAAGCTACTTCGACTAGGCGTTTCCAGCAGAGTATGTAATTGGCTTCGTGCGTACTTAAGCAACAGGCAACTCGTTGTTAAAATTGGATCAACAGTGTCTGCTCCGTTTACTCCGTGCTCTGGTGTGCCTCAAGGTAGCAACCTTGGTCCATTTATATTCGTATTATTTTTCAATGACGTGACGATCCTTTTACCAAATGGGAGACTGCTGATTTATGCAACTTCAAGAGTTACTGGATCGATTCACTCATTGGTGCAACTCCAGCTTCCTCAGAGTGAGTGTATCTAAGTGTTGCATCATCTCGTATTGGCGGTGCAAAAAGCCTATTCTGTACAACAACACGATCGATGGACAGGAACTTGAGCGCGTTGATAAAGTGAAGGATCTTGGAGTGTTGCTGGATCACCAACTCACATTCAAGATGCATTATTCAGCTGTTGTTGACAAAGCCAACCGTCAATTAGGATTCATTCTAAAAATCGCGCAAGACTTCAATGATCCACTTTGCTTGCGTGCTCTTAAATGCTCTCTAGTTAGATCAATACTAGAATTTGCATCGGATGCTTGGTCACCGTATGAAGCTGTGTGGATCTCCAGGGTCGAATCTGTACAACGTAAATTTGTCCGGGCTGCACTACGAAGTCTACATTGGCGTGACCCAGTAAACCTACCGCCTTATGAGCATCGTTGTGCCTTGCTGAATATCGAACCGCTGGCAAATCGTCGTAAAATGGATCAAGCTGTATTTGGGGCTAAGATACTTCGTGCAGAGATTGATAGTTTAGCCTTACTGAATCGTATGAGGATTTATGCCCCAGAGCGAATGCTGCGGTCACGACAACAAAACCAACCAACTCCGCGGAATGCTCTATATGGCTCCAATGACCCTTTGAACTCTATAAGCAGACGGTTTCAAGAAGGGTATCATGTTTTTGATTTTAATATGTCTACAAACACTTTTAAACAACGTTTACGATCTCTGCATATATTTAGTTTAGTTTAAGCTTAAGAATATTTCATAAGGACCACGATGTCACATGATAGATAACAATAATAATAAATAAATAAATAACATGTTATAACTATCCAGTCTGGACAGCACTTAAGTCGTGTAATGATCTGAGACATTTCATGAAATTATGCAATTATTGTATGCATATTGTATTATTCTTTGCAAACAACATTGCTTACAAGTTGCTCGTTTGCGTGAAATGAAATAAAAGTTTACGTACATCGTACGGGTTAGACAAAAGGTGTGCGTTTGACTTTATACTGTCGCATTAATGGCCCTTCGCTCATTTTCAACTTCTATTCAAATTTTATAATGCCGTACTCTAATGGAACTATCCACCTACTTCTTCTAAAGAACATTATCTAGCTAATAAATTATCACACTAAAGCTTCATGTTAGCATTTTCAACCAACTCTGAAGTTTACGTGAATGATACATCATAATTAAAATTCAGAATTTTTTGCTGTGTATTTCATCAAGCCGGCAATTGTATATCCCGTCATAGTGGCCAGTATGGTGGCCATCATCGTGGCCATTATTTTGGCTGGCGTACCGCTTACGACCGGTTACGACCGGCGTTACGCGTAACAGTGGATGAATTTTAGCTCTTAACAAGCCAATCGATGAGAAATTTTTCTACGAATATTTATTTATTTATTATTTATTTATTTATTTGTCATCAATCAGTGTAGACAGTTTTGCTCAAATAAACACTTAATCAATTTTCAATAGGTCACTAGTGCAAACTATACAAATGTCCAACTGTTGCAATTGTGATCAAAATTGTCACCGATTGCCTGCAAAAAGCGCTTTCCCTAACACAGATTTCAAAATCGAATTCCATCAGTGCTTGTTCAATACCGTGTGTGGTGGTGTCCGCTCGGTCGTCATCATCAGCAATAGCAGGAAAAGCAGTGCTTTCGGCGCGTTGTGTTGATCATTGTTGTCCAGTATACAACGTAAGGCTGCCCGCAAGCAGTGAGCTGCAGTTCACATGAGCGTCCATTCACCGAAGAAGGAGGAGGAAGCCGCATCGCTACTGATCGGACTCAGTTGCTCTTCATGAGCCGCTGTGGGCCATCTACGCGAAGCGCGTCACCCTCGTTCTAAACAACATGCAGCTCGCCATCATCTGTGTTGAACACCCTAATAGCTCAGCATTACTCAACCATCACGACAAAACGGTCCTTTTCAGGACTACCATAGATTTGATAAGTCTTTCGAGGCATGAAAGTGGAATGATTTTGATCCAGAGATGATGGATTTTAATTCTTAGCACGTCAATCGACAGACAAATTTTCTACAAATCTGTAAAAATTAAAATTTTATATTCTCGAACTGCTTTTTATTTAGTTCAATTTGCAATCTAACTTAAATTCAATAACACTCACAGTTTTGGACTTCAAATCCCACTCCATTAAATATATGCAAAAGCTCTCAACTAACAATCGAGCCGACCACTTGCCTTCGAGACTACTGGTCAAACATGATAAGATCAGGGTCAACGTGAAGCCCAATCATAAACGATTGCAATTCATCCTGACTTTCGTTAGACATCGAAACAAAAAGGAAACACATGATAAAACAAGAAAGCGAAACAAGCATTCCGTCCGTCCGAGCGAGCGATGTTTGGTAGAACCCCGCGCCGTAGCCTAACACACCACAGACAGTAGGAAATGACGCACGGCCCCGAACCAGCATGTGGTCCCAAGCCTGGCGCCTAAATACTTCTCTCGTCGGCAAACGTCCGCTCAAGGTAGGTACCAACACACACACACACACGTCTTTCACAAGCACCCACCGGTTGATCGCTTGAAACGACCGGTACTAAGGTGAATTTTATCGTCCTTCGCCCTTGTCACAAATGACGAATAACGACCGTGTCGGTTATCGGGCGACAAAATTGTAATGTGACAGACATGGGTTTTCTCCTCCCCCTGGGAGAAGATTCATGATGGGAAAAAGTTAAATTTCATCTTGTCGGCACTTACCTTCCGCACTTGGTGATGATCATCTCGGTGCCGATCTTGTGAAAATCCCGCCACAGGTCCTTATTCTGCAGTTTCATCTCCACGCCGGGCAGGGAATACCGGGGCGGCAGCACCATGGAATGCATCTGCGGCACCGGAACCGGTAGCATCGATGGAAAAGGATCTGCCGGATCACGATCAGCGATTTCGGGTCGAATGGAAAATCAGTAGGTGCAATCAGCCAATTCAGCATCATCATCAATTCACCAGCGGCAGCAGCATCATCAGGGTAATCATGGAAAATAGTCGAGATGATAGAAAAATTGGGGGTAAGTGAGCAAGCAAAATGTGAGTTGGATTGATTAGAAAATTAAACAAACATAATTAGCTCAATTTGATTAACTTTCCACCGACTGCTTCATTTGTGGTACCACTTTTCGTTTCGTTTAAAGAAATACCCATAGTGTGCCACCGATAGCTCCGAGCGGGTCGATCATTTAAGAATGGAAAAAAGAAACAACAAGCCCAAAGACGGTCATCGTCATTGTTGGCGCGTCAGGTTTCTTCGAGTCAGCCGCCGTTCGTCGTCGGATTCTAAGATCCAGAGCCAGGCAGGGAAGCAACCGAGATTATGAACCGTGAAAATGAAAATTTCATAGTCATTTATCTCGGGTCTCCGCAACAGCAGTTCTTCGCTGCTACTTTACAAAACCTTATGGGAAGATATGCTTGTGGGAGCGAAAAGACAAAAAAAGAGAAAGAAAAAAGCCTGGAGTTCCCTCCATAAAACAAAACGCAAACGATCTCATGATAGTGGAAAGGATTGCGGCAGGGGTGCCAAGATGTGGGATATACATACAGAGCATACGTTGTTTATAGAAAGGATTTTTTTTTGCCATAGAATAGAGCGATTCTCAAAATCCTTTAATATACCAACGACAGCCAAACCCTGAACACTCCCCGAGCAAAGTTTAAAATCAAAATGATGGTAAATAAAAATCAAATTTTGTCAACATCAAATTGAAATCATAATTTGATTTCAGTTTACTATGATTCCAACTTTTGTTTTCATTTGTCTGTACTTTTGATCTTCGTTTAAATCTGATGTTGACTTTTTTTTTTTGTTTTCAAAAGTATCTTTTTACAAATGTACATCAAATTTAGTTTTCAGTTTGCTCTCACTGATAACTGAATCAGTTTTCAATTTGATGTCACAGGAAGATTGTTTTGCTCTCAATTTTAGTATTTTAACCGATAAAACGACCAAAATGACAGCAACCTGAGTAATCATTATTTGCCACATCACAACGTAAAATTTTGTTTTCAATTTGAATTCAGACTTTACTCGGGTCTGCACTACTCGAGTTCAATAAAATATTTAACCCATAGAAAATTTTGATATCAAAAATAGGGAATCTAAAGAACTCTTTTTGCTATTGGTTTGATCGATATAAGTAAAATATAAAAAAAATAGTATCAGAATACCTATGGGCTGTTAGCTGAGTAATAGCAAAGTGAGCTAGGCTACCGTTATACGCATAACTGTCACACGATCCATAAGGATTACATAGAACATGGGACAGTTATGCGTACAACGGCAGTATAGCCATATCTCACAAATAACTGATTTTTTTAGCTTCACAATAGGGGGAACGACACATCCTCAGAAATCCTGATCCCAGATCTATTTTATCCTCAAAACCACAAAGAAATAGAAAATCAGTAGTTTTATTTCTATTCCAGACATCCCTTTTCTATTTTAATGCAAGATATCCTGAACATCCCTATTAATCCTTCAGTCTATGGTGTTGAATCGAGACTTGTGATCTTGACTTTTTTACTTATGGGATGAGTACTTAAGGGGGTTATATTTTAATAAGTTCTTTAGTGGGAATGACACTGATGAAAACTGCACATTGTAGTCGAAAAACGTATCTGTCATGGATACCAAAATTAATTAAGTGGAAATAAATTGAAGATAACGTTTTTTGCTGTTTTATTTGAGCATTCTGCTAACAACCCAATTTCATTACTTCATTCTTACCTACCATTTATCTAGGCAACTCTTCTCTGCCATTATTTTTTATTGAAAAAATTTGTTTCGCATAAAGCACATTGTAGCACTTTCCTGTACATTGGGAAATGCGTAAGATTATCACGAAATGACAATAAAATTTATAAAAATTTTGAGTGTTACAAAACGTTTAAATTATGACTATTTTGAAGTTATTCGTCGTACGTACTTGAGGCAAACACAAACGCAAATAATATGCTCCAATTAAAGATTCAGCTAAATATGCGATGCAAATAAAGTTTCACAACCAAAATTTCTTTCACAAATTACTTTCGTCCGTTTCAAAGTCAGCACTGGATCAGTTTTTTCATAGAAAATTTTAGTAACGGGATTTTTGTATGCGTCACAAAAGTAAAACAAAGCAACTGATGCTGGCCCCATCAAGATAAGAGGGGGCTGGGAAGATTTGACTGTAATCAATTTTGAATTTGTAGTAGAGTTTTAATTTTCAAACCACCCTACAGGAAAATAATCCGTTTTCCGCTTTAAATAATTCACCAATATTTTTTTATGGGAAAATATTTAAAAAATCCGAATGTTTGTAAAGGTTGAACACGAAAAAATCCGGACACATTAAAAACGCTGCTTTAAGGCAATGTTTTGAATAAAAAATTTCAAAATTTCACTGGATCAAGCTAAGAGAGTATAGAATCACAGTGGGTATTGGTTGTCAGGATAAGTTCATTGGTTTACATCATGGCTTCGCGTGAGCAAACACGTCGCGATTGGTTCCTGCACGCTCGAAACGAAAATCGACGAAGCGTACTGCCTGGCAGTTTGTGCTCAAGTTTCTGAGCAGGAATTTCATACCTCGGTTGACTGGAAGAGTGCCCCGAAAGAATATAAAATCAAAAAGAAGTCTAAATTCTCCAAAAAGTTCCTTGTTTGGAAAGCTGCTGTTGTGCGGGCTGAAAAGCGAAATTTTCGTTACGTATGGAACCATGAACCAGCAAATTTACCAAGAGGAGTGCCTGCGGAAAAGACTACTGCCTTTTCTGGAGCAGCATGAGGTGGATTGTCTATTCTGGCCGAACTTAGCAAGCTGCCACTACTCAAATTCCACCCAATGGCGTCACAGTGGTTCCCAAGGAGATGAATCCCACGCGTAAATGTCGAAAAAAGACATTTCAATCGCCGTGGGAGTGTCCCGGTGGACCGTCAAAAGGGTTTCAAACCGAGAAAAGAAAGGACAACTATCTGCGAAGGTGGCCACAAGTCGTCCTAGGTCAGCTCGGGTTCGGAGGGTTATCGCTGCTATCAAAAAGAAGATTCGGTTGAATCCAGTGCCTTCAATAAGGAAAATGGCAAAGGAACACGGGATCAGTGACTTTACGGCACGGAAGATCGTAAAGGAAGATTGCGGGACGTAGTCGAGGGCACGAAAAAAAACTCACATGATTACCAACCGCATCCGGGAGCTACGAGTCGAACGATACAAGAAAATCTTGAACTTCCTTAAGCGAAAAAAATCCGGTAATCCTGTTCACCGACGAGAGCATGTTTACCGTCGATCCCGTATCAAATTCCAGAACCGACCGGTATATTAGTTCTCTTCCGGTAGAGGACGTGGCCGATGAGCACAAGAACGTGTATGTGACCAAGCATCCTGCTAGCGTTATGGTGTTTGGATTGGTGGCTTCCGATGGCAAAAAAATGGAACCGATGTTCATTCCAGAAGGCGACAAGGTCAACCCGGAGGTCTACATCGGGATTTTAAGTAAGTATGTTCTTCCGTGGATCAAAGAACAGTACGGTCCGAAGCCAAATGTTGTATTTCAACAAGATGGGGCTCCGTGCCACACCTCGAACCGCACTCAGAAGTGGTTGCAGGAACATCTTCCGTTCTGGGCGAAGGATATGTGGCCGCCATCCAACCCCGATCTTAATCCGCTGGATTACTCAATATGGCGCGTCATGAAGGCCAAGGCCTGTTCTAAACGCCACCCGAGTACAGCAAGCCTCAGATAAACATTGACCAGTTCCTGGAGAGAAATGGATCCAGACTACATTATTAGAACCTGCCGTGCATTCCGGAAGCGTGTGAAGGCCGTAATTGCAGCAAGTGGAAACTCGATCGATGATTAACATAGTTTAAGCTACGGTATACCGACTTGTCAGCTGCCCTCGAAGCTAAACCATGCCATCACGATTGCCAGGTTGTATAGACTTGGGGTTAGCCGCAACCTCTTTGGATGGTTTCGTTCATATCTCACTGATCGACAACTGATAGTTACCATTGGTGACAACCGATCCGGCTAGATAGATAGCTACGCCGGGAATACCTCAATAAAGTAACCTGAAACCTTAGATTTTCTTATTCTACTTCAATGACGTGAGCTTGGTCATCGAAGACCCACGACTATTGTATGCAGATGATCTTGAAATCTACCTACGAATCTGCTGGATTGATGACTGTCACTTCCTTCAACGTCAGTTCGAAGCTTTAGCCAGCTGGTGTAATTTGAATGGTAGATAACCCCACTAAGTGTTCAGTGATCACTTTTACTCGGAAGAAAGCACCAATCACATTTGACTACGAACTTATGGGCACTGTAATCGAACGTGTGAACTATGTGAAATATCTGGGTGTTATTCTGGAATCTCAACTTACGTAAAACCAGCACATCTTGCACGTTGTCGAAAAGGCGTCCCAATGTTCTGGACTTTATCTTCAGGATAGTAAAGAATTTCTCCGACATCTACTGTCTGAAGTAACTGTTATGTGGTCTGGAGTCCAAACTACAATAATGGTGCTGAGAGAGTTGAGTTCGTTCAACGCCGTTTTCTTCGGTTCACTCTGTGGGAGCTGCCTTGGAGAGACCCATTTAATCTGCCCAGCTATGAAAGTCGTTGCCAACTAATTGATCTGCAGCCTATTCTATAGATTCGTCTAGGGCCCTGTTCATCTTGGACACTTTACAAGGTAAAATTGATTTTGAGCAAGTCAACATTAACGTCTAACCCAGTGCGCTACGTTACAACGTTATGCTGAGATTGCCACTTCAGCGCACAAACTATGGCATGAACGGTGCAATAGGTGGGCTGCAACGAGTGTTCAGTCGAGTCTCGAGCATCTTCGATTTCTATCTGCCTCTTTAGCTACTACGATG